GGAGATTTAAGAGGGTGTAATGCTCAAAGAAGAGGGTAGGAATGACAGGTATGAGGTTTCCTTGTGAAGTCCAAAGGGACTCCTGGTATTCCTACCCTACAATGGAACTCGCAGAATACACTTTGCTTTCTATGTTTAGACTGCTAGGTCTGTTAGGCTGCACATCCTCCTGCTACCAGATTGGCTGGTGAAGAATCCACAATGGCTTCCCATGAAGAAGGAACAAAAACAGAAGTTGCTGGAAAAGCTTAGCAGGTCTGGCAGGATCTGTGAAGAAAAAATCAGAGTTAGCATTTCGGATCCAGTGATCCTACCTCAGATTCTGAGTTCTCAGTTCTGAGGAAGAGTCACCGGACCCGAAACATTAACTCTGATTTTTTCTTCACAAATGCCACTTAGTTGTACCAATTGCTACAAAATCTCAAAGAAATGAAACTGGATGGATCACCTGGCATCGACCCAGGCACCGGAAAAGACGATGGCTAAAACAGTCCTGTCGACCCTGCAAAGTCCTCCTCACTAACATCTGGGGATGAGTGCAAAAATTGGGAGAGCTGTCTCACAGACTAGCCAAGCAACAACCTGACATAGTCATACTCACAGAATCATACCTTACAGACAATGTTCCAGACACCACCATTGCCATCCCTGGATATGTCCTGTCCCACTAGCCGGACAGATCCAACGGAGGTGGTGGCACAGTGATATATAGTTGGGAGGATGTTGCTCTAGGAGTCCTCAACATTGACTCCGGACCCCATGAAGTCTCATGAAGAAACATGGGCAAGGAAACCTCCTACTGATTACCTCCCTCAGCTGATGAATCAGTACCCCTCAATGTTGAACAACACTTAAAGGAAGCACTGAGGATGGCAAGGGCACAAAATGTACTCTGGGTGGGGGACTTCAATACCCACTACCAAGAGTGGCTCGGCAGCAGTACTACTGATCAAGCTGGTCGGACCTAAATGACGTAGCTGTTAGACTGGGTCTGCGGCTGGTAATGAGGGAACCAAGAAAAGGGAAAAACATATTTGACCTCATCCTTACTAATCTGCCAGCTGCAGATGCATCTGTCCATGACAGTATCGGTAAGAGTGACAACTGCACAATCCTTGTGGAGACGCAGTCCCGCCTTCACATTGAGAACAACCTCCATCGTGTTGTGTTGCACTATCACCGTGCTAAATGGGACAGACTTGCATAGATCTAGCAACTCAAAACCTGGCATCCATGAGGTGCTGTGGGCCATCAACAGCAGCAGAATTGTACTCCAGCACAATCTGTAACCTCATGGCCCAGCATATCCCGCACACAACCATTACTGTCAAGCCAGGGGATCAACCTTGGTTCAATGGAGAGTGCAGGAGGGCATACCAGGAGCAGCACCAGGCACACCTGAAGAGGAGGTGCCAACCTGGTGAAGCCACGAAACAGGACTACTTGCACGCCAAACAGCGAAAGCAGCAAGTGATAGACAGAGCTAAGTGATCCCACAACCAACGAATCACATCTAAGCTCTGCAGTCCTGCCACATCCAGTCATGAATGGTGGTGGACAATTAAACAACTCACTGGAGGAGGAGGCTCCACAAATATTCCCATCCTCAATGATGGAAGAGCCCAGCACATCAGTGCAAAAGATAAGGCTGAAGCATTCGCAGCAATCTTCAACCAGAAGTGCCAAGTGGATGATCCATCTCAGCCTCCTCCAGTGGTCCCCAGATACCAGTCTTCAGTTAATTCGATTCACTCTATGTGATATCTAGAAACACTGGATACCGCAAAGGCTACGGGCCCTGGCAACATTCCGGCAATAGTACTGAAGACGTGTGCTCCAGAACTTGCCGCTCCCCTAGCCAAGCTGTTCCAGTACAGTTACAACACTGGTATCTACCCGACAATGTGGAAAATTGCCCAAGTATGTCCTGTACACAAAAAACAGGACAAATCCAACCTGGCCAATTACTGCCCCATCAGTCTACTCTCAATCATCAGTAAAGTGATGGAAGGTGTCATCGGTAGTGCTATCAAGCAGCACCTGCTCAGTGATGCCCAGTTTGGGTTCCGCCAGGGCCACTCAGCTCCTGACCTCATTACATCTTTGGTTTAAACATGGACAAAAGAGCTGAATTCCAGAGGTGTGGTGAGAGTGACAGCCCTTGATTTCAAGGCTAAATTCGACCGAGTGTGGCGTCAAGGAGCCCTAGCAAAATTGGAATCAATGGGTGTCAAGGGGCAAACTCTCCGGTGGTTGGAGTCATACCTGACACATAGGAAGATGATTGTGGTTGTTGGCAGTCAATCATCTCAGCTCCAGGGCCTCTCTGCGAGAGGTCCTCACGGTAGTGTCCTATACCCAACCATCTTCAGCTGCTTCATCAATGACCTTCCCTCCATCATAACGTCAGCGGTGGGGATGTTTGCCAATGATTGCACAATGTTCAGCACCATTTGTGACTCCTCAGACACTGAAACAGTCCATGTTCGCATCCAACAACATCTGGACAATATCCAGGCTTGGGCTGACAAGTGGCAAGTAACATTTGTGCCACACAAATGCCAGGTTATGACCCTTACCGATGAGAGATAATGTAACCACTGCCCCTTGACATTCAATTGTGTTACCATCACTGAATCCCCCACTGTCAACATCCTGGGGGTTACCGTTGACCGGAAACTCAACTAGACTCACCACATTAAGATGGTGGCTACAAAAGCAGGCCAGAAGCTGGGAATACTGCGGCAAGCAACTCAACTACTGACTCCTCAAAGCCTGTCTGCCATTGACAAGGCACAAGTCAGAAGCGTGATGGAATACTCCCCACTTGCCTGGATGAGTGCAGCCCCAACAACACTCAAGAAGCTTGACACTAGCCAGGACAAAGCACCCCGCTTGATTGGCACTACATCCGCAAGCATTCACTCCCTCCACCACCGATGCTCAGTAGCAGCAGTGTGTACTATCTACAAGATGCACTGCAAAAATTTACCAAAGATCAGAGTTGATATTCTGAGTTGAATATGACTCTTCAGAACTGGCCAGAACTGAGAAAAGATTAAACTGTGAACAGAACAGCTTTGAATAAGTCTGTGCTGTTACAGAGAAACTTCATGTCAGGGTACTGAGCATGGATCCTTGGTGTGAAGAGCTATCCAAGGAACATTGTATCTCTAAGAGTTACCTGTAATTCTGAGTAGATTCAAGATGTGAAGGATGGAACTTCAGTTGGAATGCAGGCAGTATGTTTTGGACCTGTTAGTCTCTGAGGAAGGAGATTTGCAAATAATATATTGCTTAATATAGGTATCTCTAATCTATGGAATAAAAATATAAGGTCCACTGCACTCTGCATTTTGAATTCAATGCCAGAGGTTATATGTTGTTGGTTTGCCCTGCTGCACAAGATCTGAGTTGTTTGTTCTGACCATGTCCAAGAGCGTTATACTGAAATAAAAAGTACTTTGCCTTCCCAGCTTCAAATAAAATCAGGATAAGTAAAAATTAGTATTGACATATGACAAATAATTTAATGAATGAGGTTGGGTGATCAATTCAAAGGTAATAGTAGCGAGTCTAATAGTTTATTATATATCCTTGTCTACCCGTGGCTAGTGAGTACCAATCCACATGATCAGGAAGGTTTCAGCTTCTCCCCCATGCTGAATAAGTTGGTAGTCGTTGAGTTGCTATGGTTTATGGCAATGACCTTGGGCTGTGGGGCATTCACTGGTGCTGTCATTACTGGACAGGAGAAAATTGGACATTAGAAGCCTGCCACACACCAGGCTGGATTTTTCTTAAGATGAAGGAGTAACATCGGAATTGGACTTCTGATCCATTCCCATGTATACTGCCCAGCAGAGCCATTCCCTGATCCAGGGTCATTTCTCATACAAAGCAAAGTCTCTGGATATTCCACGGCTAAGAAGGAGCTCACCACTAGTCCCACAGGAAATGCAATTGGACCATACTGCAGAATGAGAATACAGTCTTATGTATTGTGACTACTATGAAAGCCACAGAACTGCAATACTGGAGGGCAAGTTTGGGGAAAGAGATGACTACTGTAGATGTTCTTCCACTATTGATTAACCTCAGGGTCATTTTATTGCTGTCTCTCAAGTTCCATTAATTTCCCTACACTAGTCCATAAAAGTGACCAGAGCATGCATTGATCGGGTGGACTTGGGTGTGGAAATACATACAAATATAGAAATTTGGAGCAGATATGAAGCTATGAGCCTGCTCTGCCATTTGATTGATTCATGGCTGATTTAATTGTGCCACAACTGCACTTTCCTGTGCAACACCTAAAGCCTTTGACTTCTTTTTAAGTCAAGAAGTTATCTAATTCAGCCTTAAAATTATTGTGTGACCCTGCTGTCTGGGAAGAAAATGCCACAGCCTTAAAACCTGAGATAAACGTTTCTCCCCATCTCAGTCTTAACTTGGAGATCACTTATTTTTGAACTGAAACCCGTAATTCTAGTCTTTCTGACAAGGGGAAACATCCTCTCAGCATTTATCCTGTCTGTTCTCCTCAGGATCTTGTATGTTTCAATTAAATTACCTTTCATTCTTTTAAACTCCAATGAATACAGTCACAGCTTTTCCTTATAAGATAACTGTTTCATCTCAGGAATGAGTCAAGTGAACATTCTCTGAACTGGTTCTAATGCTGTCAAATCCTTTAGCAAGTAAAGAGACCCAATTGTTCACTATGCTCATCAATATCCTGTAGATGCATACCAGTAGCTTCACCACCTACAGCCAGTTGTAATTTTGAATCAGGTCAGAATCCAGTTCTGAATGTAATGCATGTCCTGTGCTATGTTCTCTCTCTAACATTTAGTGTGCTTTCAATCAATGTTTGATAACTTCATGTCATTGTAAAATTGTAAAAATACAAATAAGATTTTAAAATGTTTTTCTAATATTTATTTACGCTAGTATGATTTTAAAAGAAACACTTCCCTTGTTTTTTCTTGTTGTTGCAGGACTTGCACATACCTCGTTTAGAACTCAGGGACAGAAGTTTGACTATTCAGCAGACTGTTGGGAAATAAGCAGCACGTAGCCTTCCCAAGGGAGAATGAAAGGAGGGGAAGATCTATTCAAAGTGCTTGATTTGCAGCTACTTTGTTCTCAATGTTTCGAGAAAACAAATGAAAGTACCATTGTCCTTAAAAATGTGAACCACAAATGCCAACATCTCCAGCTTGTTGCTAGGAAACAACAGGACAGAAATGGCAGCTGGAGACTTATTCGCAGACGACCAGCTTTCATTAATCCTGTGCGCTATCAAGTGTGTTCCTTCTACAGAGAAGGCTCAGGTTGCAGGAGGATGCAGAATCGCTGCACCTTTGCCTGGAGTGAAGAAGAAGCCTGTGTGTGGAACTATGAAAGAAACAACCAAATTGAACGAAACAAACTGAAGAAGTTGGTGGCAGAAAGAACAAACAATGGGATTCCATGTTCAGGCACAGCTAATAAACAACAAACTGTTGAGGAAGAAATTGTTAATGAATTTGAAGGACAGTTTGTTGAATTGTGTGCAATATGCTTTTACAGTGTCCCTCAGCAGATCGTCTATCAAAATATTCATGGATTTTGTACATTCACCTCTCAGCATGGATGGAGTCCGTTATTGGTGCATATCCTTGATGATAATAATGGCATGAAACAATGCTATGAAATTAGACCAGTCACATCTCCAAATAACCTACAATGCTGCAAAAATGTTCTGCAGGGGCTATTATGTTATGGTTTTAACAATTGCAATTTTGCTCATAGTGAAGTTGAACTGATGGTATGGAAATCAGAGGTAGAACGAGGTTTGAAGCGTTCAACTTTGCTTCAATTATCTCAGCAACAAAACTGGAATGGACAACCAGGAGCTGAAAGGGTGGCAGAAAGCAATGTTCACTTTTATTGTCGAGTCTGTCTGGTCACCTTTTCTTCTCAGGATGGGTTTGAGAATCATTGTACATCCATAGAACATGCTCAGATGGTCTTGAAAGACACCACAGTTGTGTGGAACTACCGAAAACCACCTCTTAAAGCCAAGAAATATCAGTTATGTTCAAGGTGAATGAAATTTTGGTTATTTACCATATTAAACCAGCAGAGAATAAATATTAATTATTTGAACAATATTCACTGTTTCTGGAATGTTGTTAGTGATTTATCCTCTTCAGAAAGAGTCATGTAATATTGAAAATTGTCTTGCAATGGGAAATAATAAAATTGAATCTGAAATTCTAAAAGATTTCACAATGGTGACCCACTGAAATTCCAACAGGGGAATAGCACAATCCCATAAAATGATAGAGATGGGGCAAAGACCCAGTTGTGCCATTTACAGGAGATTTATCTCCTCCTTATTAGGAAAATGTTTTTAGTGGGTTGGAGTCAAGGGCAGAGGCACATTCCAAGTTCCCACTTGATTGGCTCAATTTTAACCCATATATCTTTGGAAGCTGGTATATGGAATGAGCAAAGGTTGAGCAACTTCTGACAAAGTGGGCCATATCCACGGCATTGAGACAAATCTCTGATAAAAGAGGTGCATTTATCTCAAAGCTGGGGTGGTGAGTCTAAATAACCCTTTCCTCACTGGCTGGTAAGTGTAAAGTATTCTTGGCCAATGTACGTCCTGAAGATCTTGTAAAGTCTGGTAAGATCAGTAATATTTGGATATGACTGCATGTTGTGAAGAATTTTAGGGCCTCATTTCATAATGTCGGTAACCAAAACTTGATTTTGAGCTGATTAATTTATTTGATTTTTCAAAACATAGTGCTCATTCTAGCACATTAATATCTAACACAACTTAGAATTATTTTGTAGTATAGTTCCTTAATAGATTCCTGACATGTTTCCTTTCCTGTTTATTATGAATTTTTGCTTACTACAATCAGTTCAGAGGTTGAGAAAGCATTGCGCACAGACATCTTCCGGACCATAAATTTGTTTGTTTCTCTTTCCTGAGGCTGATTGCTCAATTTCCATGAATTAGTTTAATTTTTGAGCATATTAAGCAATAACATTTCACACAGATGTAAATAGCCATAATTTCAGCATTGCCCCTCCTGTCTGTACATCCAGCATTCCTTGATCAGTAGAGTTAACAGATGACCTACTTTGAGCTGTAGGCTGAAGATTTGAGCCATGGGCAGAACGCAGTCAAAAAGAGACCATCTTCTCCTTTTCCATTCCTATAGGGAAATTCACCTGTTCTCAGAATCTCAAGTTGACACGTTCACTTGAAACCAAGAACCTACTGCTGGATCAAGGCATTCCTAGATCAACTTGTTTTATTAGCAGGCTGACAAAGTGTCAATGCTAAAAAAAACTTCCTATTTTCTGAGCAAATGAAATACCCAGTGATTTAAATATGAAGCCAGTTCTGATGTTGCTGTTTATCAGTGCAAGGCGTCTTGGGAATTTTCTCTGCCTTTGCTTGACTTAAAGAGTATGCTTACTGCTTTACTTTAAAGGATAGACATCTGTGAATTTGGTGAGAATTGTATCCACGCTCACTCTCATGAAGAACTTGAAGAGTGGCTGATGCGGTCAGAGGTTGCTCAGAAACGGAAGCGATCAGCAAAACACCAGGGGCTGTTACCATATCAGGACAGAATAATGGAGGAATACAGGAACTGTAGGAATGAAATACTGATTGTAAGATGTTTTCTTTCATCATTGGCCACTTGTGTCTTTTCTCAATGGTATTCAGTCTCATCTCATGCATTCAACTTTGTTTAATATATGCCTGTCATTGCACTTGCTTTAATATTGTTTACTGATTTACAGATGTCAGAAAAAGTTGATGATGTTGCTATTTCATGTGATTGTGCCTTAAAAATAACCCATTATCAGAGAAGATCTAAACTGAAGTGGAACTTCCACATAGAATCACAGGTAGATACTTGCTTCTTTTTCAAATATTGTCATGTGTATATGAGATTAAAGATTCCCACACAGACTGGCCCAGCTAGACAATTTGAGATGCAACACTTTTATAGGATGCATGCATTATGTAGCAGTACTATGACTCAGTTTTGTTTTCATCTTTTGTAATTAATAATACAATATACTCTTTAATGAGTGGAAAGCCATCTACATATAATATTAAATAAACATTCTTAATTTGTTTGCAAAAATAACCATGATAGTTATTTATAATTAACTACGGTGCAAACTTAAATGTTCACTTTTATCAGCATGCACACGATTTAAGTTTAAAACAATACAACGAATGTGATTACACTGGTTTGAACTTTTCCATTTCTCACACCTTTTCTGTTTTGTCTAGGAAAGATTTGATGCCAGTTTTATTACAGACAGTACAATCAACATGCCAAATGTGTGTACATGTATAAATTTTGACTTAAAACTTCATTTAGAAGGGTCTCATCAACTATAGGGCTTTATGGTTGACCTTAGTTTAATGTGTGTGTGTAGTCCAACAATGTAGGGAGATAGAAATGTGGCAAACAGGAGGAAAAGTACCAAGAAGTTATATTATTTATAAAAACTAGAAGGGAAAGTTTTATAGTGAAAATCATGAGCAGGATTTTCTCCGCAGATTTTTGGACCCTGTTGTCAGGCTCAAATGGACATCAGAGGTTTGACAACAGGAAGCAGTCATTTATCTGTGAGTTTCTCCATATTAGACAGTTAGAGGCCAGATGACAGGCTCACTGCCCAAAAGATGGCATTCAGGACAAATTCGACCTGGCCAATTACTGTCCCATTAGTCTATTTTCAATCATCAGTAAAGTGATGGAAGGTGTCATCAACAGTGCTACCAAGCAACACCTGCTCAGCACTAACCTGCTCAGTGATGCCCAGTTTGGGATCCACCAGTGCCACTCAGCTCCTAATTTCATTACAGCTTGCCTCAAAAATGGACAAAAGAGCTGATTTCCAGAGATGAGGTGAGAGCGACAGCCCTTGACATCAAGGCTGTACATGACTGAGTTTGGCATCAAGGTGCCCTGGCAAATCTAGAATCAATAGGAATCCAGGGGTAAACTCTCTTGTGGTTGGAGTCATACTTGACCCATAGGAAGATGGTCATGGTTGTTGGAGTTCAGTCATCTCATCTCCAGGACAATTCTGCAGGAGTTCCTCAGGGTAGTGTCCTAGGACCAACCATCTTCAGCTGCTTCATCAATGACCTTCCCTCCATGATAAAGTCAGAAATGGGGATGTTCGCCAATGATTGCACAATGTTCAGCACCATTCGTGACTCAGATACTGAAGCAGTCCACGTTCAAATGCAACAAGATCTGGACAATTTTTCAGGCTTGGGCTGACAAGTGGCAAGTAACATTCACGTCACATGTATGCCAGCTTATAGCCATCACCAACAAGAGACAATCTAACCACTGCTCCTTGACATTCAATGGTGTTACCATCACTGAATCCCCCACTGTCAACATCCTGGGGTTTATCATTGACCAGAAACACAACTGGACTCACCACACAAACACATTGGCAACAAGAGCAAGTCACAGGCTTGGAATACAGCAGTGAGTAACATACCTCCTGACTCCCCAAACCCTGTCCACCATCTACAAGGCACAAGCCAGAAGTGTGATTGAATACTTTCCACTTGCCTGGATGAGTGCAGCCCCAACAGTACTCAAGAACCATCCAGGACAAAGCAGCCCACTTGATTGGCATTACATCCACAAGTATCCACTCCCTCCACCACTGATGCTCAGTAGCAGCAGAGTGTACGATCTACAAGGTGCACTGCAGAAATTCACTAAAGATATTCAGACAGCACGTTCCAAACCTATGACCACATCCATCTAGAAGGACAAGAGCAGCAGATAGATGGGAACACCACCATCTTAAAGTTCCCCTCCAAGCCAGTCACCGTCCTGATTTGGAAATGTATTGCCGTTCCTCACTGTTGCTAGGCCAAAATTCTGGAATTTCCTCCCTAAGGGCATTGTGGGTCAACCCACAGCAGGTGGACTGTAGCGGTTCAAGAGGCAGCTCACCACCACCACCACCTCCAGGGCAACTAGGGATGGGCAGTAAATGCTGGCCAGCTAGTGATGCCCACACCACACAAATGAATAAATAAAAATGCTCTCAGTTTTGTTTTATTCATTCATTGGGTGTAAACATCACTGGCTATGCTAGCATTATTACCTAGTGGGCAGTTAAGAGTCATGATGGTCTAGATTCACTTGCAAGCCAAATCAGGTGAGGATAGCAGATTTCCTTCCAGATTAGGCATTCGTGAACTAGATGGGTTTGAAACAATAATCGAGGGTCGTACTTTAGGCTGGCTTTTTATTACAGTTTTTATTGAATCTAAATTGCACCATCTGCCATGGTGGGATTTGAACCCCTGTCTCCAGAACATTCGGCTGGAGTTCTAGATTACTAGTACAGTGACATTACCCCGATACCACTGCCTGGAAGTCTATTTTCTTAAAATGTAAGTAGCCCACTCACAGTTAGTTACCTTTTACTGCAGCCTGGTGCTCCTTTGAAACTGGAAGGGCAATGATTGATCTTGTAGAGTTAGGAGCCTGGATACTGCCTGAATTGGGTGGGAATCTGTCTACATGCCAATCAAGGAGGTGCCTTGATCACAGGTTCATGGAATGACTTATGTTTCTAGGGATGGATCTGGGACCTGGAACAGTTCTGACTTCTGTTCCCTGTTCCCAAGGTGAAAGTTCAGCCCTATAGACAGAAGAAATTTCAGAATTAATAATCTCTGTATACCATAAATGTAAACTAAATTGTTGAAAAAGGAGACATGCTTGTCACAGCTTTTTGTCTTGTACTCATGCATCAAACTGGCATGTGTCTCATTTCAAAGAGAACAACAAATTGTACTGCATGAGAAAGAGTGCTGATTGGCTGGCAGGTTGACTCTGATCATTTGAGGTGTTGCCATAGAGAATTGATTGGGGAACAATTGTCCTCCATACTATTGTTTAATTCGAAAAAGGCACAGTGCCTGGAAAAGATCCTTTTCCCTGCAGATGAGTAAATGTTGCTTCCAGGAAGCATAAGACAGCCACCTTGCAAGCCCTATTGATAATCTTAAGTTGCTTGTTTGTGTAATATTAGCGGCCTGTTTTCTAGACTAGAGTCAACTTGCCAACTAGTCAGCACTTTTTACTCATACAGTATGAATCGTGCTTCCTTTGAAATTTATTCTATCTTGATGAGTGCAGCTGAAAAGTTTCAACAGTGTGTCTCCTTTTCAGCACTTGTGCTCTACATTAAATTGTACTCAGCAACTGTTTATAAACTGAATTTTTAAAATGACCTATAAGAAGTATTAGATTCTATTAGTTTAATCAAACCAAATTTGGAATCCTTGACTGATAAAATATGATACAACTAATGAAAAATAATATCCAAAAGATATTGAATTGGATCCAATCTGGTAGATTCCTCATATGAACTTTTTTAGTCACGCTACACTTTGGACTGTCACAAACACTGACATTTCTATTTGTATTGCAAACATGGGTGAGGACGTAGGTCAAAGTCTGAAACACTGTGAAGTTCATTATCCTAATATTATAGCACCTAAGTGATGTGCAGATTCATACAGAACCAAGCAGACAAACAGGATAAAATCGAGTGAAAGACGCCTATTGTTGTGAAACATAATCAGAAATTGCTGGAAAAACTCAGCAGGTCTGGCAGCACCAGTGACCCTTCTTCAGAACTGATTGTAACTAGGAAAAGGTTGGTATATATGCAGAAGATAGGGTGGAGGGAGGGGCAAGGAGTATACAATAGGTGGAGATGGAGCCCAGAGAGAGAGAGAAAAACAGGAATGGGTAAATGTCAGTTTAAGGGAATAAATGGCTGCTAATGGGGACTATTAGTGGCTGATAATAGGTAGTTTGTGGTAGCAGCCCATGTGATGACAAGGCCTGGTGTGAGAGTTTGGGGTAAGGACATGGGAGAAGGTGCTCAGGCCCTAAAATTATTGAACTTGATATTGAGTCCAGAAGGTTGCAGGGTTCCAAAGGGGAAAATGAGTTGCTGTTCTTCCAGTTTGCGATGAGCTTTGCTGGAGGGCTGCAGTAAGCCTGAGAAAGAGATGTTGGTCAGGGAACCAGGAGCTCAGGGTCACTTTTGTGGACTGAACGTAGGTGTTCTGCAAAGCAATCATCCAGTCTGTGTTTCATCTCCCCAGTGTAAAGGAGGCTACGTCGTGAGCAGTGAATACAGCAGACTAGATAGAGTGAAGTGCAGGTAAATCACTGCTTCACCTGGAAGGTGTGTCTGGGGCCTTGGATAGTGAGGAGAGAGGAAATAAATGGGCAGGTGTTACACTTCTGTGATTGCATGGGAAGGTGCTGTGGGGCTGTGGGAAGTGAACGAGGAGTGGACTAGGGTGTCTCAGAGGAAATGGTCCCTGCAGAAGGCTGACAAGGGAGGTGGGGGTGTGTGGGGGGAATATGTATCTGGAGGTGGCCAGAATGTTGGCTGATGATCCTCTAGATGTAAATACTGGTGGGATGGTAGGTGAAGACAAGGGGGAACCTACTGCTATTGTGGGGGGTAAGAGAGGGGGTGAAGACTGAAGTGTGGGAGATGGGTTGGCCATGGCTGAGGGCATTGTCAACCATGATGATAAGGAATCCTCAGTTGAGTGAGAAGGTGGATATTTCAGAGGACCATTTGTAGAAGTTGGCAACATCGGAACCAATGTGACAGAGACAGAGAACTGGGAGAATGGGATAGAGCCTTTACAGGAAGCAGAGTCTAAGGATATATAGTCAGGGTAACTGTGGGAGTTGGTGGGTTTGTAGTGGATATCAGAGGCCAGCCTATCCCCAGAAATGGAAACAGAAATGTTGAGGAACAGAAGGGAGGAGTCAGATCTGGACTCAGTGAAGGTGAGAGCGGGGTGAAAATTG